AGAAGAAATTGGTAGGGGAGAGGGGAGAAGAAAAAATTGGTAGGGGTGGGGGGAGAAGAAGAAATTGACAGGGGGAGAAGAAGAAATTGGTGGGGGAGAAGAAATTGACGGGGGTGAGAGTGACAGGGGAGGGAGGGGCAATGAGAGTGGGAAGGGGGAGGGGAGAAGAGAGTGACAAGGGAGGGAGAGGGGGGAGAAGAGAGTGACAAGGGAGGGGGGAGAGATTGACATCCATCACACACACATGCAATGCACCCCTTGCACACAGAAAAACACACAATGCATTACACACACAGACACACACACACAAACAATGCAACCCTTACACACAATGCATCCCTTACACACACACAAACACACAATGCATTCCCTACACACACTCAATGTACCCCTTACACACACTCAATGCACCCCTTACACACGCACACACTGCATCCTGTACATACACAGAAACACACCTTGCAGCCCTTACACATACAAACTCAGATTCACACAATGCATTCCTTACACACATATCAGGACATCCCCTACACACTCCACCCCCTGTGAACAAACTCATTGGTGGAACATGAAGGTGGACCCTGGGACCCAGACCTTGAGCTGTGTAACGGATCACCTGGCACCCCGACTGGGTACCTCCGTTGAAGGATGCTCCTAGCGCTTCCTGAGGACTCAAAGCACTGCAGCAGACACCACAACCACCGAACCGGAGAAGCATATGAATCCTCTCAAGCATATGAATGCTGTAGACAGTTGAATAGGAACCATACGAATAGGTTTACTCTCCTAGCAGTCAAACTGGAACAGCATACAATAAATCCTTCCCCCAATAAAGAGACAACACTTCACTTTGAGGGTTAAAACAGGAACTCCCTGTACTGTCACATACAGTCTCTTTTATTCCCAATCCACAAACATAGTACAGCCCACAGGGCGTTACAAAACAACCAATCAATCCGTACAATACATGTAGCGGAGAGGCAGTATAATCCACGATATCTCCTCTGGGTAACAGGAACAACAAAGGATAATCCAGGGAATCAGCATACAATAATCCAGACAGCACTGCAGTAACCCTTCCTTCCCAAGAACTAGACGACACATAGGCTGGGAGTCAACTGACAACCTTTTAATCGGCAGGACAATTTATACAAGTCCCCATGCAAGGGGTTTCCTGAGTTCCTCCCCAGGGGCACTCCCAGAGGGGACTACATGGGGGACTTACATTACAGCATATTTCTCCCATCAGGCACCGCTGCACGAGAGGGATCATCTTCCCAGAATGCACCGTTAAGTGGATTATCCCCTCATGCAGCAGAACCGACAATTCACACAAAAATCCATAACTTGGTGAATATACAGTGGATTCACACGAATGGACGTTCGGTAGATAGCTGGAGTCTGAGCGCATCATTCGTGAGATTACCGCTCAGATCCCAGCTAAAATAACCGAACGCCGCACGAAAAACACAATTCGTATAAAACATATAAAAATAACCGATTGCTTGTAGGGAACAAAATACCGAATGTCCCGAAACTCCCGAACGCCCTGGAGGCTCAGCGGGGTTCGTGCCGTCGAGTAGCCGTTTTTAGTACCAGGCGCTCGACGACCTAACCCCGCTGAGGGAACAAAGGATCCAAGATGGCCGACCGCCGCATGGTCGGTAGTCGAACGACGGCCACCCAGGAGAGCCTCTAATTACCGATTGCAACATTGTTGCAATCGGTTAACTAGCGCCACACGCCTCTAAGTGTGTGGGCTATTAGGGGGTATCGCGTTCGGTTCACGAACGGCCCTCCAAAGTGCCGTTCGTGAAACGAAAGGGAATCCCCATTCAAACCGCCATTTGCATTCGGTGGAACAGATAATTACAGGTAATGCAGGGAATACAGGAAGCAGACACATACAGGTTAAAACGCATATCTCTCCAGACCTATAGGCAACCCTTAAAGGCATAGTGTCCAGTTATAGTCCGAGTGGCTAGGTTTGCCACAATGCTCCCCGAGAACCAAGCCGGCATACACAGTCTGATCCCAACGGATCGGCTTGGGGATGTCCGGAGGAGTACTCACGAATCACGGCTCCAAGTCTGTTTGTCTAGACAACCCGTCGGCGTTGCCATTTTGCTTCCCAGGGCGGTAGTGGATAGTAAAGTCAAAAGGCTGCAGTGCCAAACTCCAGCGCAGCAGCCTGGCATTGTCTCCAGACACCCTGTTCAGCCACACCAACGGGTTGTGATCCGTGAGTAAAGTGAAGGGTTGCCCGTATAAGTAGGGTTGCAACTTTTTGAGGGCCCACACCACAGCCAGGCACTCCTTTTCAATGGCGGCGTAGCTTACTTCCCTGGGTAAAAGTTTTCGGCTTAGGTAAGCTACGGGGTGCTCGCCGCCATCGGGTCCAACTTGGCTCAGTATTGCTCCCAATCCAAACATAGAAGCGTCTGTGTGGACGAGAAAGCGTTTAGTTGGATCAGGAGCAGAAAGTACAGGAGAGTTAACAAGCGCCGTCTTGAGCTGTTGGAACGCCTGCTCACACTCTGGGGCCCAGACTACTAACTTAGGGAGGTTCTTGCGGGTCAGATCTGTGAGGGGTTTGGCAAGGGCGCTGTAGTTGGCCACAAATTTCCGGTAGTACCCGGCGGTCCCTAAAAAGGCGAGCACTTGGGTCTTGGTGCGAGGGGTAGGCCATTGGGCGACTGCCTCTATTTTAGCAGGTTCGGGTTTCTGTTGCCCACTCCCTACCCGGTGACTTCCGCCATACCGATATGGCATTTGCTGGGTTTTAGGGTCAGTCCGGCCTCTCGGATTCGGTCTAGAATGGCTCCTATGTGAACCAGATGTTCGTGCCAGGAGTGGCTGAATATGGCGATATCATCTAGATACGCGCAGGCATACTCCTGGAACCCATCTAATAACCTGTCCACCATTCTCTGAAAGGTAGCTGGAGCGTTTTTCATCCCGAATGGCATGACCTTAAACTGATACAGGCCAAACGGGGTGACAAAGGCCGACTTAGGGATGGCGTCTTCCGCTAATGGAATCTACCAGTACCCTTTGCACAGGTCTATAGTGGTTAGGTATTGACCCCTGGCCATCTTGTCGAGGAGTTCGTCTATCCGGGGCATGGGATATGCGTCAGAGGTCGTTTTATCGTTGAGCTGTCGGTAGTCTACGCAGAAACGGGTCGTCCCGTCCCGTTTCGGCACCAGTACTACCGGGGAGGCCCAGGGGCTGTCCGAGTGCTCTATCACTCCTAACTGAATCATCTCCTCAATTTCCTTGCGCATACTTTCTTTGACTGCTTCTGGAGTGCGATATGGGGGTTGGCGCAAGGGGGTCTGATCTAAAGTTTCTACCTTATGGGTAGCCAAAGGGGTATAGCCTGGTAAATTGGAAAACGTGGCCTTCTTTTCCTGAAGCAACCTTTGTACCTGGGCCCGCTCTTGGGCATTTAATCGTTCTCCTAACTGTACCTCTCCCAGATCTCCGCTCTGGCCCTCTTGGTCTAGGAGATCGGGTAGGGGTAGGTTATCAAAATCTTCCGTGGCAGGGGCACAGATTGCGGTGACTTCCTCCGTACGTTCGTGGTATGGCTTGAGCATGTTCACATGGAGCATGCGTTTGCCTCCCACGCCGGTAACCGGGCCGATCACATAGGTGGTGTCACAGATCTGTTCCACCACTTTGTATGGGCCCTGCCAGGAAGCCTGCAGCTTATCCTTGTGGACTGGTCGCAAGATTAGGACTTTCTGCCCCACCTGGAAGCTGCGGTCCCTGGCTCCCCTATCATACCATCTGCGCTGTCGCTGTTGCGCTACCTGGAGATTGTCTCGGACGGTCTGGGTTAGCCTCTCCAGGCGTTCCCTGAACTCGAGCACATATGTTAAGATAGGGGTGCCATTAATGGTTTCGTCTCCCTCCCAGTGTTCCCGTATCAAGTCAAGAGGTCCCCTCACTCTCCTCCCGAATAATAATTCGAACGGAGAGAATCCGGTGGATTCTTGCGGCACTTCTCGATACGCGATCAGTAGGTGGGGTAAAAACCTCTCCCAGTCTTTTTGGGTGTCCATGAACGTGCGGATCATTTGTTTCAGGGTTCCGTTAAACCGTTCACAGAGCCCATTGGACTGGGGGTGATATGGGGAGTTTAGGATTTGTTGTATCCCACATATCTTCCAGAGCTGATGGGTCACTTCAGCAGTAAACTGGGTGCCTCTATCGGAGATAATCTCCCGGGGAAATCCTACCCGGGTGAATATCCTCATCAGGGCCTCGGCTATCGTTTCTGCGTGTACGTTAGTTAGGGCCACTGCCTCGGGGTACCGGGTGGCGTAGTCCACCACGGTTAGGACATACTTCTTGCCGGAGGGGCTGGGTTTTGCGAGGGGACATATGATGTCTACTGCCACCCTACTGAATGGTTCTTCAATGATGGGCAGAGACCGTAGTCGTGCTTTGTATCTGTCCCCTCTCTTGCCTACCCTTTGGCAGGTATCACAGGTCTGACAATATCGCCTAATATCCTGGGAAATACCTGGCCAAAAGAAATTTTGGGTCAGCCTGTGCTTGATCCCACCGCTGCCACCAATTGTAGCGGAGAGGCAGTATAATCCACGATATCTCCGCTGGGTAACAGGAACAACAAAGGATAATCAGCATACAATAATCCAGACAGCACTGCAGTAACCCTTCCTTCCCAAGAACTAGACGACACATAGGCTGGGAGTCAACTGACAACCTTTTAATCAGCAGGACAATTTATACAAGTCCCCATGCAAGGGATTTCCTGAGTCCCTCCCCAGGGGCACTCCCAGAGGGGACTACATGGGGGACTTACATTACTGCATATTTCTCCCATCAGGCACTGCTGCACGAGAGGGATCATCTTCCCAGAATGCACCGTTAAGTGGATTATCCCCTCGTGCAGCAGAACCGACAATTCACATAAAAATCCATAACTCGGTGAATATACAGTGGATTTACACGAATGGACGTTCGGTAGATAGCTGGGGTCTGAGGGTATCATTCGTGAGATTACCGCTCTGATCCCAGCTAAAATAACCGAACGCCGCACGAACAACACAATTCGTATAAAATATATAAAAAGAACCGATTGCTTTTAGGGAACAAAATACCGAATGTCCCGAAACTCCCGAACGCCCTGGAGGCTCAGCGGGGCTCGTGCCGTCGAGTAGCCGTTTTTAGTACCAGGCGCTCGACGACATAACCCCGCTGAGGGAACAAAGGATCCAAGATGGCCGACCGCCGCATGGTCGGTAGTCGAACGACAGCCACCCAGGAGAGCCTCTAATAACCGATTGCAACAATGTTGCAATCTGTTAACTTTCGCCACACGCCTCTAAGTGTGTGGGCTATTAGGGGGCATCGCGTTCGGTTCACGAACGGCCCTCCAAAGTGCCGTTCGTGAAACGAAAGGGAATCCCCATTCAAACCGCCATTTGCATTCGGCGGAACAGATAATTACAGGTAATGCAGGGAATACATGCAGCAGACACATACAGGTTAAAACGCATATCTCTTCAGACCTATAGGCAACCCTTAAAGGCATAGTGTCCAGTTATAGTCCAAGTGGCTAGGTTTGCCACAATACACCCAGACACTCCCACACAAAATCCTCCCCTCTGCCTGTGATATGATTACTGAACACAATGGGTAATCTCATTATCACCGGCAGAGGAATACAGTTTTTACACAATATTTATAACTTCTAAAATATACATGTCACAAACATAAAACATACATTTTCATAATCAATCCATTCAGTGGAACAACATATTAAAAAAATGGCACGAATCAGACCAGGGGTTCAAAAGTTAAGGGAAATTCCTTTGTGACTAAATGAAGCATGGCTTTCTGGCCCAAACCAGTTTCAGAGTCTTCTATCCTGGAGATAAGTGAGAAGTAATTCAATTATCTCCAAGGACAGACACAAGACTCCATTATGCACATGGTGAGCACAAAGCATTAAAATATTATAAAATACACAAAGTCACATTTTATACATAAAACACAGACATGCCACATATCTCCAGATAGCTGGGATCTGAGCGCACAAAACTACCAAATAGCGCTCAGATCCTATTCACACAGTTCAATTGCCATGGAGCCAAAGTCTTTAACTACACGAATGGGCTCCATGGCATAGCTATCTGGGTTAACACATTCACATAAAGTCTGGTCCATAGTCC